AACTGTCTATACATTGCTGAGCTGCAAATGCATGGCCCCTTATGAAACAAACAAGACCTGTGCAGAACAAATCTGAATTTTGAGACCATAACAAACAAGAACACTCAAAAAACAGCTTCGGTGCAAAAACTTAGCAATTTGTATTTTGTCACTCTCCCAGTATGAAAGTATTTAATACCTTGGCCATTGTTGGGGCTGCCTGTAAACTATATCAGCACCAGTATCGTTTAAAAAACACTGATATAACTGCTGCTGCTAGGACAGTCATGTGCAGTTGGGTTATACTTATCACTGAGAAATCACTGTTGAGGTTCAGAGGTAGTGTCTGTGAAATATTTATGCCATGGGTGTGGGTAGAAACCCTGTTGCATTTGATCACATCACGAGACAATAATTATCTTAATGGTAACTACCGCCATGAGGCGCACCAGTCCATGTGCACAAACATGAAGAACAACAAATTCAACAAAACACACACATACACAAATGCACTCACACGTGCACAGCCATAAATAATGAAGCATCAATTTTTCATGCAGAGAGGGTATTGTTGTCTCTTGTCGAAATATACCTCAGTCCACAGCTTCAAAACAACAAAAGGATGCTGTGTCTCTACGAGCTGCCATGGTGTTTTTTTCTTCCAGAGGCTATTTGTATTTCTTGATGTAATAAGACAGACAATGTTATTCAAGACATGAACATCATATTACAAAGATTTCATTGATCAAGTCATTTTACTCCAATAAAATCCACCATTACTATGAGATCCTAAAAATATCTGAGTAATTTACTGATACCAGGGCTTTCAACTTAGAAACATTATAAATGCCACTCCTTTCCAAGATGTGTGATCTCCTGCAACACTCAACAGATGACACCATGACAAGATGGGATTAAAAAAGACTATGCTTTCTTCCTACATCTCTTTAGAAAGTAGACCAGCCAACTTGTTGATGTGCTTGCTGAAATGAAAAATCATCAAGCTTTGCTGTATGAATGAGCCCTGAGCTTTCAGATATTTCTCATTGCTTGCAACCAAACCAAAACAAGTGCACATGAATTATAAAAAAATCTCTTGATTTTCAGAAATATTTTACACATTTCTTTTGGAGTGGCAGGGGCCCAAATGAGTGCGAAGGGAAACACTGCTCAAATACTGATTTCTGCTTTCAGATGTCAGTGAGTTTTAATGGTTGGATCTACAGACAAATCCTGATTGTTATTCCAACAGCCCTGAATGATCAAAGTTATTTCTAATGCCTGTTACCAATTACGGACAATATAGTTTAAAATCCACAGGAACAGCCTTTGTTATTTTTAATGGTAAAGATTCACAGAGGGCTGCATATTCAACAGTTACAAAACAGCATGGCTATTTTTTTTTTTTGTTGTTGTTTTTGTTTGGAGCACTAATTTTTGGTGTACAGAACAAAACCAACTTACAAATAACACGTACATTTTTGTCCATAGATTCACCCCAAATCAACTGAAAACTAATGATTCACTCTCCCCGGCAACGTCAGGAAATAACGTCAACATTAAAGTTACACAAGATGATTGATGCTACAATCATCTTTTAATCATCTACAGGAGGTTGACTGTTAAGAGTGTAATGTACTGCTGATGTCACTGCTGTAGCATTTTTATCCATTTTTCATGTCGGGGTGGCCTCAGATATTTCAGCTCTATTGGTATTGCAGAGCAGCTGTCAGTGTAACCTTGCTAAAGCTGAGCCTAGGCGTCTCTGGAGTCAGTGTAATAACAAGCTGTGATCTGCTGTATTGATGGAGCAGCAGGAGGGCAGGAGAGTGGTCTGAGTCATCAATAACCTAAAGATCATTTGTCACCGCAGACAGGGTGGTTTCAGTGGAATGAAGAGATAAAAGTCTAGACTCAGATTTATCAAAAAGCCTTTTATTTGATAAAACTAGGCTGGTTGAAGAGCGGGGAGTTGTTTTCAGAGCAGATGTAAGGTCACTATTTTACGTAGTGGATCATCACAAAGTTACTAATGTGAGTTTAAGGACGACCAATCACGGCTCTTCTTTTCATGTTGACACATTTTGAAAAACAATGGTGTCTTTTGACTCCTTTTTTCCTAAGTTTGAATGGATATGAAATACCACTGCGCCCTTGTGTGTCACTGTCTGTGCCCAGCATACCACAGACCTCTGATCCTTTAATGCTGAACTCTGCACCAAAACACTTTCTCTCTCTGTTTCTCCCTCGACTCTCCAGACAGCAGCTACATTCATCAAAGTCTGACTTACATTTGATTGAAAGAGATAAAAACTACTACCTCATATAAAGCTGTCCAGGGTTCACAGGTTGGCTGCTGAGTTAGCAGTCATGTTTGTTGGGTTGCTGTACAGCCAGTTTCCACCCCCACCCCCTTTTTTTTACTTTTTTTGCTTTTGGAAAATAGAGTTCTTCACTTTTTCAATAGAGAAAATACACACTTGTTAACATTCAAGAAACACTGAACAAGACTTTGTGTTATGTCATTCTGCACCCAATTATTTTACTTGTAAGCTCTATGGTTGGTAATCAACCACGGATGTCAAATTTTGAAAGACCACATTTCACATTTGCTTAAAACAGGAGAATATTAATATGGGCTTTTACAGTTGGTGTCTGATAGAATGTATGTCTTAAAGCTGTGGCCTTTTGTTTCTGTGGTCTTTTAAAAAGTTATAACAATAAATATATCTGAATGTCCTGCAGAGAGGAATCAAAAGTCTAGCCAAAGCAAAATGTCAAAAGATTGTACTTCACAAAGAGTAAGAAAAAATCAAAATGCATTGATTTTGCAGACTTCAAAAAGCATATGTAGAGTTAAAATGTTTGACTAAGTAACAGCAAAGGAAAGACTTACCATAGATATCATATTCAGTATCCGACATATATCACATAAAGAGTTAAATCAGCTCATCCTCAGGTCTTGCCAACATGAATTTGGCTCACACAGCTGTGTCAGGACCTCTAAGTATTCGGCAAACACCAAACTTCAAAACTGTGATCAAACTAAGCTTTGCAGGTATTAAGACAAGACCACTGTGATTGTTTTATTGTTATATTTATCAAATGCAAAAAAACAACAATAATGAAGTATCAGCATAATATATTGGCCATCAGCAATGGAATCACCAGCATCAGAAATCAGTCGACCACTTCCTCACAAGAAAATGTAATCCTCAAAACCATAAAAATATCAGGACTTTTGTCTCTGACATTTGCTAGAAGAAGGGAAGAGAGAAACCCAAGATTAGTCTGATTATCTTGATTATCTTGAAGTGAATACTCCACTTAAGCTGAACAATCGATTTAATTTCTTCCAAAGTCAGACTTGCAAATTCAACATGTTTTTAACACCAGCTGTACAAACACCACAGGGAGGAACAACTCGTGCTGACTGAGGGCATACTGCAAAAGCTTGTGTCAGAGTTGCTTATTCACAGACATAATGATAGCAGTTAAAGGAACATTTCTGGGATTTAGCGTTGTTATGGCATGTTGGCCTCAGTTTCCAAGAAAAGCTACAATTGCATTCCCTTACATTGCACAGGATGTATATTTGATGTCAATTCAGTCTAACTGAGCTGCTTTCAAGCAAGATGAACACTTCTTTAAGTGGGACTCATCAAGTCTAATAACATGCAGCTCTACCCAGATGGGAGAAAGTGATGATAGCCTCAAACATCATGACAGATTTCCTGAATTAAAAATCTGTTAATTTATCATTTACAACCTCTCAGTTACACCCTCTGTCTCATCACTGCTGTAAAAAAACACAGCTTTAATAAATAAAACTTAAAAAGGGAGATCTCGCTGCAGGATCCAAGCCAGCCAACAATGTTAAATCAGTGCTCACCGAGTCAAAATGAGGAAAAGTTGAGTTGTTTTAAACCCTTGAATGACTTTAAACCAGTCACAATCCGTCATTTAACTAAATTAGCCACCATTGTAACCAATTGTGGCTTTTCAGTGAGCTACAGTAGAAGGCTAGAGTGGGCACTTTCTGCCATCTGCAGGACAAACATGGAGTCACAGTGAGCCAGTAAAGGGCCATTTCACTAACAAAATAAAAAAAAAAAAATAACCGTGTCACTATCATACTGTCTATGGTTAAGATTTTACATTCACATCTACCTGAAAATTTTATGGGTAGTGTTTTCTCTTATGTCACTCAGTGCTTGAATTAATGAAGCCACTGAAGTTAAAATGAAAACTGAACATTTTGAGAGAAAACAACAATAAAATCCTCCCAAACTCCCTGGAGCACAGCTTTACAGGCAGGTGCATTTGTGGGAAAAAAACACCTAACCTAAAAAAACTCCAACGAAAGGTTTCTCAGCTGTTTTTTATTTTTTTATTTTATTGTATTCATTATTTCAGACAGGCCTACTCAGACTAACATTTGATGTTCTGCTGCAGGGTTAAAACTTTTTGTTTAATACTTTGTGTTGATGTGCTATTCTACTGATGTGTTTTCCAAGAACCCTGTAAGGTGTCCTTGAGTGCTCTGAAAGGCGCCCACAATTAAAATATATTATTATTATTATTATTATTATTATTATTAGTAGTAGTAGTAGTAGTAGTAGTAGTAGTAGTAGTGGTAGTATTAGGTGTCCTTAATAACATACTAAAAGTTTACCACAGTTTGATAGCTAGAAAGGTGCCATTTTCACGATGGCGTCCATGATGGGTTTGAAGCCCGGGGAGACACCCCAGGTAAAAAGGGTAAAGTTTTTAATTAACAGCTATCACCATGCAACTGATCAAGTTTACAACTTACATTAAGACCAATATTTTTGTGGACGCCATCGTGTAAATGACACCTTTCTAGCGGTCAAACGTTGGTAAACTTTTAGTATGTTATTAATTATATCTAATACAATAAAAAATAAGAAAAACAGCTGAGTAACCTTTTGTTAGTATTCTTTTGGGGTCAAGTCATACTTGCACCTGACTATTAGGTGATATCGAATTTGAGTCAAGCTAGACGGAGAAGGAAACCTTTTGGTCTTTGTCGCTTTCCGTTATACCCGGAAGTGTTTGTGTCAGTGTTGTTAACTGCGCACTAAACGACAAGTGTCAGTGGGTTTTTGCCGTGTAGCAGTCGTGTTGCGTATGAAGATATTTTCTGTTGGAAGTGGACTAGCTTAACAGGTCAAAAATGTCCGGGGGGACACATCTGGAAAACGCAAACCCTGTGATTTTTCAGCGGACCGGGGAGAGGTTGCAGACAGCGACTGAAGAGGATGAGGATTTCCACGACCCCATAGATGACAGAGAAATTTTCGATATCCTGTTTACACTGGTTTTACCCCCGACAGATATCTATGCTTTAACTCTTGACTGTTTTTTTTAACTTATGCTAGGACTCAAATCCTTTTTCTTTAACTGCAAAATCTTTTGAGTCACACGTAAGATGTGCAATAACAGGCGTACAAAATATAGCATTTTGTGATATTTAAGCTTTTTTGTTACACTTACAGATGGAAAATAAGTTTACACATGTGAACGGATAGTTGACCCGAATACCGATATCGATTCTCAGTCTTTCTGACTATAGGGCAGACAAAGGGTAAGTTGAGCCACCCCCTGTTGCTTGGAAATGATAAAAGAAATTGATCATGTACCCAAATATTTAGGAGATGGGCATCAATTCATGGAGTCTGTGAAGGTTAGAAGCACATGGGTGAAGGGGTTAGACATTTATTTACAATAAAAAAATATTTTTCACTATTGAAAGTGAATTTAGTCTGTCGTAAGTTTTATAAAAATTGTGTTCAGACCAGAAAAGATCATTTTAAATTTGTTTTATACAACAATTGTGGTATCTATGAGCTACGACATGAGGTCAAAAACCGAGCATAAAAGTCCACCATTTTAGCTTAGAGGACTAATGAAGTCACAACAGTAGTTCTGGGGTAAGTTTAACCATTTGGATCAAATAAGAAAGTAAAGGAGTCTGATGAGAGGATCAGAGTTTCAGTTCAGATTGTTGAAATGTGTTACTTTTCCTTTTCTAAAATACAGCTGTGAATGTTCTGAATCACTTGAAGGCATTCTCATGTTAAAATGGATTTTTACAAAACAGATTTTTTAGCAGTTATATGCAATACTAAAAAGAGTTATTGTACCAGTTGAATAGTGTATAATAGATAAAAATACACATGAATGTGAAGAAGTGACTGTTATTAAGGGAGAGAGAAGGTGAGGGAGGGCTGGGGTGGAGAATGGAGTGGCAGTAGGGATATGGCTCAACTTACCCCATACACGGGGCAAGTTGACCATAGGAGACAACTTTGTTTTTGGCATGCTATATTATCAAGACAGATATGTTTACACTCATTCTGTTGGTTTGCAGGGATGCACAACATCTTGAAATATATGCAGATATACTAGTTAGAGACAAAATTATGATTGTCTTGATGTAGTGATCGGAAATATGAAAAATGGCTCATCTTACCCCACTCTCCCCTATCTTTGTTGTTTGAACATTTTCAAGAGTTGAAGGTCTGACCTCTTGTCTGCACTGAACTGAAAAGCCTTATCCGCTATTTGGAAAAATGTGACAGTTTGAAAAATTGTCCAAACTTGAGATATAATCAAGATACTGTAAAAATGATTGACTAGCCAACCAGAAGATGACTTTTAAAGCATAAATCTATATTCACATTCATTAAGTTAAAACGAAGAAATTGTACATGTTTTATACATCTTTAACTGAAATTACATATGATCAGATCCATCAACGACCCGGAGCATCCTCTCTCTTTAGAAGAACTCAATGTCGTGGAGCAAATCAGAGTCAAGGTTTGCAGCCTTCAAACATTTTTTTTCTTCTCTTTATATATGGAGTTTATTGCATTTTGTGTGTGTAGATGTTTATGATTAAGCCAGTTTATCTTTTTTTGTCCTCAGGTAAATGATGCAGAGAGCATTGTGGGCATCGAGTTTACACCAACCATTCCCCACTGCAGTATGGCCACACTCATCGGTCTGTCGATTAAAGTCAAGCTGCTACGCTCCCTGCCAAACAGGTTTAAAGTAGGTACTGGAGTGGGGGGTTTCACACTACCATCACTTCATTTATTATTGGGAATTAGCCAAAGGGTTGATATACCACATAAGGCTGGATTTCCTTGTCTGAAAATTTGTATACAGCTCATGTCTTAATGCATTATTTTGGGTTTGTTTCCATTCAGATTGATGTTCATATCACTCCTGGGACACACGCCTCAGAGGATGCAGGTAGGAACTACTGATCACAGACTACAGGCCTGATGGGACATATGTGCACTCTCTCAAACTATTGAAAATGTTGCTGTTAGTTGTTGAACTTGATAATCAATATTTCTGTCCTTTGTTGTTGCTTGTGCAGTAAACAAACAACTGGCAGACAAAGAGAGAGTGGCTGCAGCTCTGGAGAATTCCTCGCTGTTGGAGGTGGTTAACCAGTGCCTGTCCACCAAGAGCAGCTGAGTCGCCTATCAGCTTTGTCGCTTTCTGCAGAAGTCTCTGATTAGCCGGTTACATTTGGCTCTGTCAAGCTCTCTATTAGATATCAGCATTCCAGATGTGGGCACTTGCAACTAGGGGATAGTGATGCAGCAACAGTGTTGTTCACATGCAAGCATGATAATGGGAGAATATAAAGAAAACAAATATGAGTTTGTTCACACAAGGAGAGTAACACACACAGTTACTGATTAAACAGAATAGTTTTGTCAAACAATAAGAAATGTTCTGCTATTGATGAACTTTTGGTGAAAGGGATGAAAATGTCTGCCTTTTAGATTATTCAGTATTATTTTTTAAATTTAAAATCTTAGATAATAAATCATTTTAAGACAGACATATTCAAGGTTTACATCTGCTGAGTCTGCGGCAACAGCTCTGCTTTGTATTTGATATTGATGCTTTGACATAACTTGAAATTATTCAACTAAATAAAAAAATGAAGAGAAAATGTGTGTGTGTTTTGTGCAAAACATGTATTAACATATGGTATATACTCCATACTTAATAACAATGCAGCAGGCTGATTGAGACATAATGGAAACTGCTGTTGCTACCGTCAACAAAGTAATTGAAATAGCAAATTTGTGAAAATGAATCACTTACAGTGTATTTATTTAGTGTATTGTCATTTCTAGCCCATCTCAACTCAACATTAAACTGTCTCTCAGTTATACCACAAGTATTAATGAAGCCTGTGGCAAAATACAGAAATTTTGTACGGTTAAGTCTGTGAATCATTTAGCATGTATATACCTTACTACTGTTTAGCCAGCAACAATTAGTCTTTTATTTGTTATAGGGTCAGCCTGGCTTGAGAATTAAATATGACCACCCCAGGTCACTGGAATCATTAAAAAAATTCCACTGGTTCAGTCGGCACGTGAGAGTTACAAAACTAATGCTTCCTGTAATATATTAAAAACGCAGTTTTTTTCAATGTCCTCCATAATCCAGCAGGAGGTGCCCTTTACTGCAGATTTAGAGAGCTATGGAGGCAGTAAGAAGAGTCTGCCCATGAGACAATCTGGCAAAAACACAGCAGTATTGTCCAACATGCTTGTCCACCCACACCCCTCACCGAACACTCAGCTTATAGTGATTTCTTATAAAGCTTTTGCCACATATTTGTCAGCACCTGACACCTGCGCAGGCTGGGTCATGGTGATGTGGGTTATAAAAATAAGTACCTTTAAATAGAGTGTGTTTTCAATGAAATCGGGGTTGACCTACAAAGCCTTAGTGCACTAAGAGACGCAATTATTTTAACATTATGGTTTCGACCTCTCTTTCATATGAAATTAAATGCAATAGTACAATAGTGTGGTTGTTTTAAGACTACATAAAAATGATGCAGTTTAATCCTTTATTGCAGAAAATACATAAACATGTTCTGGTGACAGCGGGGAGGCTAAAAAGATTATATTGCATAAACACAAGGTATAAACACACCTTAATGGCAATAACCCCAGCCCTCTACATGGGGGACACTGGAGGAAAGTGGTACTTTTAATTTATTCACAGAAGAACATTAGTACTAGTATTTGTCAAAGGGGAAATAATAGTTATTCCTCTGGCGAGACTAATAAGAATTTCCCCCCTCCCGTTCCACATCTGGAAACATTGCATCACTGCTAAAACCCCGGATAGGAGACCCAGCCGACACAGCTGCAGAAACCAGAGGCTTGCATTCCCAGAGTTCAATCAACACAACTGTTCGCTGGAGGAGAAGAGAAACATGAAGCGGGGTCAGCTCAGGACATCTACAAAGGGCCTGTAGCTGAAGTGTGACGCAGCCTGGTGGTGGAAAACTAAAGAAAAACATGCACAAGATAGGCCTATCTATTGTCACTTAAGCTACAAAAACATGTAGTCTACTAATGTAACATGTAGCTGTGTGGAGATTGTGTTATTCGATTCAAAGCAAACTGCCACAAATCTGAAAAGCATACCATCAATGAAAATATAATCAAAATTAGTATTTAACAAAAACATTTAAACACTTTTTTACTTAAATCCATGGCTGGGTTGATCTCAAGAGGACATAGTAAGCACATCTTTTGACAATACTTCACACTTTTGCATTGCAATAGTTGTGTGTCAAAATGAAACATTACTTAGTTATACAAACAGCCAGTGAGAAGGGCAAACAACTGTGTAGTAGCAGGCTGCAGCTACACGAAACCATAGCACTTTGACACGTGAAGCCGACAGCACTGTTGGTGAGAAAAAAAGTAAATGAGTACTACTCCCTGCAGAAATGCAGATGAAGACTCAACAGATGATGATATTGGCTGTGTCTGAAATGGATCCCTAACCCCTATATAGGCGACTATATGGGGGTTGGCGCCATTTTGAGGGGTGTCCGAAACTTGAGTGATCAATTCCAATGCCCCATATAGGCGACTCAAAATTTCCCATAGAGCACTGCAAAATGTAGTGACCATTCAATGGTCACTCACCGGTGGTGGGCATCCCGTCATGCATTGCGCCTCCAGCGGAAAACCAACTGCCTCATGACGAGAGCAAGAAGAGACAGAACCCTAGAGCTCTATTTGTTATTTTCAACATAAGTTTTTTATCTTCACTTCACTCGCAAGTGATTCGTGCAGTTTTCGAAAAAGAATTGTTTGCTGCGCCATAGTCTTATGCACAATATGACGCAGCAAACAATATTCGACACAAAATTATAAGGCCTTTTAAATAAATTATTGATTTATTGTTTTTTTTATAATTATTTTTATTTCACAAACATCCTGGAAAAAGAAATACATCTATACAATATCATAAAATTCAAGAGATGTGAAAACAACAGCCGCAACTTCAGACGCGGCAGTCTGAAACCTCCGGTGATTGAGCTTACTACATGGTCAGCTATATAGTGAAACCCCATATGGAGGTTAGGGGTTAAGGATTGAGTGATTCATTTTGGACACTGCAATTGTCGACAACACTGGCATGAAAACATCAAAAGTGTGGAAGTATTTTGTCTTTTTTAAGGTTGGACATGATGCAGAGTAATGTGCACTGCAAATTATGTTCAGTACATCTTAAATTTCATTTAAGAGTAACAGGGAGCACTTAAGATTGACAAGTGAATTTTTTTGTATATCATGGGTCAATATTGACTGATATGAAAAAAATGTAGTGATAAACTTTTTCCCCTATTTCCCAGCCCTATACGGTCTGAAACTTTGATATAATTTTGAAAATGACACAAATTTGTAATGGATTCACCAAAATATAAACTTTTTCATATATTTCTTGAAAAATTGCTACATTGCTGTTAGCAATGTAGCAATTATATAGGCTACTGAACTTTGACGTTAGCATTTACTGCTAGCTTTCACAGTTATGAACATAGCTTAGCAGCCTTTAGGACAATCAGCCTGAACATTGTGTTGGTCTAATACTCACTGTGTTTCCTAGTATGAGAAATCTACCATGTCGACTCTTTCCTGATGAGTAACGCCGACATGACTGCCAACAGGAGGGGACTTAGCTCAACCCTCTGAACCTATGGCTCTGGAGGACTAGACCAGTTTAGCTGGCCTGCCTGCCTGCCAGAGCTCTGCAGATTCAGGATTGGCTGCACAGAGGTCCTCAACGCAAACCAGACAGCATTTTGACGGTCGATGGAAGCATATTAGGCGTGCACATCGATTCATATACACAGAGGTATGTCAAATCAACATTGTGGAGAGTTTGTGAAAGTTTGATTTTTTGTTTGCGTGCCTGTGAAAAACTGCGGAGCGGAAACTCTTGAGACCCGAGTTCGGTTTTCAGGCAAACAAGAAGTTGTCATCTTCCAGAAAGCATCTGGGACTGATTCTAGCAGGGTTTGAGAATGAATTGAGACTTAATGTTTACTTCACCGTCTAAAGAAACTGTTAGTGGTTTATAAACATCTTGCAAAGGGGTACAGAGATCTGGCGGGGGGCTTGGCAACATGCCATGGTTTGTCTTTTATTCCACTTACTGATGATGATTAATGTGGGGTTTGTTTGGACTGATTTTTATTTATATCTCTCCCATTAATTTCTCAGTATGTTTCATGGGATCTGGGTTAACACTAGAGAGCTGCAGGGAGAGGAGGGGGGAAAGCCGGAGGAAAAGGGCTGTAGTGTTTTCACATATTTGGGTTGTATTTCAAAGAGCTGAGGAGGGAGCGGGGACCACTGTTTGGTGCATTCACATCTAAACATAAATACTTCTGCCTTCAGATGGATTATACACAGATTTCAACTGCCAAAGTGGGACAAATAATTTGTACACAGATTTGTGTGTGTGTGTGTATGTAAGTGTGTGTGTAACCTGTTAGACAGAATGCCATTTGGCTGTGAGCACACACTCCACACTCAGACACCCACTGACTCTAAGCTGTCTGAGCTTCTATAAACTTAATGTTTACCTCTGTGAATATTTAGTAGAAAGCTGTTTACACTGACTGATGCATTCAGAGTTCATTCATGCCTTTATGACATTTTCTGATTGAAAACAAAGTAATGGAGCAGCACCTCCTCCCTGTCCACTGACCTTCACACCAGATGTGTCGATACTGTCTCTAGTTTGTCAAAGCCAAACTGGACCAGTTAAAGTATGAACATACTGCTTCTCCTTGGAGCTGCTGATTCATTTGTCTTTTTGCATAGTGTACAAGTGTATGAGTCTTACACATTGGATTTATCCCTCTCAACCAGAGGGTTCCCTCTTACTGGCTGATATGGAAGATGCAGTCAGTCATGGTTGAGGCCTTACCTATATGGTTACATATAAATCCTGTGCATTGAAGTTGCTGTCATTGAGTGTCTCACAGTAGAACTATTTCCTAGTTTTTTATATTTTCTTTGATTTTGGGTGCGATCATATCATCAAAATGGAAATACACTATAGGTCAGAAACATGGTTTTGTTGCAGTCTTGGATAATGGGTGAAGAGTTAGAAGACAACTTGTTTCAGTTTCGTCCAAATAAGCTCACTACAAAGATATGACCTGCATCACGCTAACTGCTCAGTAACCTAAAACTGAAGGGCTTAAAGGCATATTCCGGCGTAAAATTAAGTTAGGGTCAAATACACTGTAACACAGAGTTAGAACCCCCTCAAGAGATGAATGTTGCTGACCACTTGCTCTCTAGTTAGACAAACTTTAGGAACGACCGCAGGATAGCAATACACAAACCTCAACTTAAAAGCCACTGTATAGCTACAAATGATGTTCAGAACAGCACCTAACTTCATCAACAGTACATATGGGGTTCTAGCCACAGTACTGGCCTCCAAACATCTTTTTTAACTTTGCCTAATTTCTTTAGCAAAGAGGCTAAACACAGCTCACCCACTCTCTTCCAGCAGCCGCTTGTTTGTAGCGAGACCTTGGGCCAGTCCATTACGGACTGCTGCGGGGTGACACAGCTCAAGAAAGAACATTTATGATCATTTCTTTATCATTTCCCTGAAGTAATAATCAATTTCAATCAAAGTATTAATCATTTTGCACTGCAGACGCAATAGTATTTCTGCCTTAGCATCTCGGTCTGATTGCATTTCCATGAAGAAATGATGGTGTTATGGTGTGTTTGACCCTCAATTAATTTACGCTGGAATATCCCTTTTAGTCAAAGCATGACAGGAAGAATTTGGAGGTGGGCTAGTCTTCTGCTTTATATGTGCCAGGAGACCATGTTCATGCTCTCCAAAAATACACTCTCCAAAATAAAAGTTTGCAAATGTTAAGTGCCCATGCTTGTCACAGGTTTTTATTGATTGGTTTATTTATGTGGGTTTGCACAGTGGTGCAGTGGTTGGTGCTGTTGCCTCACACTGAGAAAGAAGGTCACCAGTTCAAATCCCAGGTCAGACAGAGGCTTTAGGGTTTACATTCACCTGGTGTCAGGTGAATTGGGCACTATGAAATTGCCCTTAGCTATGCATGCCCCTCGCTCAGAGACAGCTGGGATTGTGACCTCAGAAGGGATAAGGGGTAAATCTTAAAATGAAACGTGTCCATGTCACACCCTAATATGGCTCATTGATTACAAAGATTCATCCATTGAAACTGATCTATGGTGATGCTTGGCCAAACTAGACCCACTGCCAGACATCTTCAATAAGCTGACTGAAAGGATTCAGATCAAATCAGCGCACACATACACAGCTGCTTGTGAGGTGATAGTGTGTTCCAAATAAGCAAAGTAGTCAGAGTTATGCATCATAAATCTTATGTAAAGCTGGCTGGTGATGTTGAAACTTACTTTCTTAAGGACTTGAAAGCTAAGATCTGAGGTGTCATGGTGTATACATCTCCTCACCCCCAGGACATATGGAGTGCTCATCAACAAGATCACAAGATACAACCTGGGAGGCATTTTCCACTCAGTTGCATGAAGCCGCATTGAAAGACTCATACATTCACTAAATTCATGTTAACAAATAGACAAAATGTAAGACAGCTTGCCTTTTGTTCTTGTGAGATTTATCACTTCTCTGCTACAGCCCTTGAAGGTCTCTTTTTAAATTTAGGTTTATTATGTCATTTAAGAAACAATCTATACACTTAGGTTTCTTGATTTTTTACTGAGATGACTCTTGTGTGCTGGCTGTCACCTGGCAGCAGCTCTGTAAAGAGACTAATTCTTGAATCTCATATCACTGTTTAACAAAAAAAAAAAAATGGAGGTTTTAATCAGTATACATTAGAGTGGAGGATCTGCATTTATGAGCTGGTATAGCCTCTGTTTTTGGTCTAATTCATGTGCTTTGTCACAGAACTAGTTTTAGGTCATTGCAGCCCTGAGTTCTTAGCATACCTTCGTGTCAGTAAGGAAATGAGGGGCTGGTTGAACCTCTTCTGTGTGTCCCTGCCCTCCATTTATTCATATTTCTTGTGAGTCAGTTCAGACTTGATTTTGAGAGCCCCTCATCAGCTCCTAGATTAGAGTTTGAAAAGAACCGCTTCAGTGTTAAGCATGTGGCATGGTCAGAGGGGAGCATTTGCATTTGTTTAGCGTGCGTGGGTAGTAGCTGAAACATAACGCAATACTGTGCTCTGTCTTTGTGCTCCGCTCTGTTTCCTGTGTTAAGCATGTGATCCTGACATATCTCTGTCCATCTGACACTCAGACTCATGACCACGTGCCTCATGTTTTCTGAATGCAGCAGGTCAGAGTCATCATCAGAATCAGCTCTAATTTAATCTCAAGTGTAGTATGGTCAGCAAATAACAGATTTGTTAAAATGAAACATTGCATTAATGTACACATTGGATTATTAGATGTATATTCTGAAATCCAGATGCAAGAGAGCTATCAATCATTCTTGTTATTTCTTGTTTATTTCAATCATTAGATCAAATGGTTTTTTTAGCAAAGTTCAAGCTCTTTAGTGACGTTTTCTGGCACCTCTGCTTGGCCTACATTTAATGAGTCATATGCAGTGTGGTGCAAGATCACAAAGCATCTGAAGTAACTGACAGCATGCAGGCGGGTTGTACTAATGCGCATGTGACTGTGATATACAGGAAGAAGAGTATACCAGTTCTCTTCTTCTTCTTCTTCTTCTTCTTCTTTACCATGCTTCCCTTCTCCTCCATAGTTATGTACACAACCTGATGAAACTTATTACAGTTTGCCCTCTCAGTTTGTGTTAATGATGTGGATTAACACATACCAGGCTGTCTTACAAGACAAGAAAACAGCAAGAAAAACCTGACCCTGATTGGACTTTTCCGAGTCAGTGCTGTTGCTCATGTTGATAGGAAAGAGGAAATATTTAGAATATTGAGACACAACTTGGCTGATGTTGCTGAACCAGTCTGTTGTTTAGATATGTTTGAGATGGGGGAACAATTATCCCGTAAAGCAAAGGTAAAATAAGCATTCTGAGGAATGTATAGGCGGTGAAATGGAGCAAACACACTGCAGTCAAGCCAAAGGTCCTGAGATACCGATCAGTTAAAGCTGTTTTTATAAGTGCGAGGGGAATTAACAGACCTGATTCTGATTTGATTTGCCCATGCCAGCACACAATGATTCAATGATACTGTAGCATTTAAAGCAGACATGCTCTTCCCACTTTGGAACTGTTGATAGTTTCCTTTTGTTTCGATTGGTGTTCATTTATTAAGTCTCAGTATTCCTTCGTCAGTTGAGAGACAGACCAATTAACCGTAGAAGAAGCCTGAATATCTAATTCAGCAGTCTGAAAACACTGCGTCATGATGTAATGTGCTAAATGGATCTCAGAGAGATCACATTCCCAGAAAAGAAATGCCCTCTGGCAAAGGCAGACAAGAGTTGCAAAGACTGACAACACTCACAATGAAAACTGCCTCTTCTCATAAGCAGCCGAGTGCCTGGAAATGTAATGTGATGTATTGCACAGTGTGTAACTCTGTCCAAATAGTACAACTTAGCTGAACATTGAAAAACTGTGTTTTTGTAACTTACTGCATTTCCTTTGTCTGCCAATTTAAGGTCAAACATAAACCCTGTTTAAAGTCTTTTAGCAGGATGTTGATGTGCTTCTGTGATCTCAGTGTTTCCTTTTCTGTCATTTCACCAGTTGTAGTTCCAGTAATGCCATGCCTCACAAGGCTCGTGTAGCTTTACATTTAACATCAAATGATATAGTGCTTGGATTTCTCTTGATTCATTGACAAATCAAAAAGCCAGGTTTTTTAGATATATTTTGTAAATGGAGGTAGCAGCTCAGACATGTTTTTCCTTTCAGAGGACTGGAGCCCTGTAAAGACAAACAGCTGAGTTCAGGGGAGAAAGCCAAGGTGTGTCTTTAAAATGCAGTTCTGCTGCTGTAGTTGGCTGAAAAGAGGAGACCAGAAGGACGGTATTGAAGTGCAGCCGATGGTGTGTTGGCAGACCGCCGCTGAGTGTGTTGCGAGGCAGGAAGTGTGACATTGAGAGTACAGGAAGTGGCTGCTGTGTGGAGCTATGCTAGCCCTTTAGTCCAGCCGCTTCAAGGGCTGGGATCAATTCACTTTCAGTGAAACAGAAACAGCTTTTCATTTTGTAACAATAAACATTTGGATGGCTTTCCTTTTTTAAACTTTTTTTTTTCTTCATCCAAAAGAAATGTTTGAGTGCTCTCAGACTTTGCTGGATGCAAAACTGTCCCACAAGATTAACCTCTTTGTTTGGTAAAAGAATCAGAGATAAATTCAGCGAAGTCCAGTATACTCTGTTACACTAACGATTGAAGTAACGTTTAAGCATCTGTTTTAGCCTATTCTCTTTGAATTTGCAGATGCAGAGATATCAGAATAACAGGATTCACCTTTCAGTGTCTGGTAACTACTTTCAGGTCATGCTTTACTTCTTCATTGTGGTTGTCAGTGTGTGCATGTTTTCACACACAGTCATATGTCAACCAAACTGGTCACTGTTTGTTCATACTCTGTAGGTGTAAAACTCTTTGGTGTTCTGCTCTAGTGTCTCATCCACTTCATATCCTTTACTCAGGATGAACAGAGGAGGTTCTGTGTGTGTAATGGATCATCAATCATTGTCATCGTGATCAAGGGTGTCACTGATGTTTTAACATTGCAGTCTTATAACACTCAGATACTCAGTGATCAAGCAGGGCGTTATGTTGATTGAATTACTGAAAAGATCTTCACGGATATTTATTGTTAAACTTTGTGGCATGCTCCATGTTTAATCTCTGTGCCTGTGGGAACCCCAGATGCCTCCTCCCACTCCTGCCCCAGGTGCGGAACTGAAAAAGAGGAAGTGGTGTGCATATGTGTATGTGTGAGGCGCATGTGTTGAAGCGGGACTTCTCTGAATATGAGATGTGAGTTGAGGAAGAGGAATCAAGAAGTTCTACCCAGTGCAGAGTGTTTTTTGAGAGGATTTTTTTAGATGCTGCTAATCTTCCACTTCTGTCTGGTTTCAGCTGTATGTGGCTGCTCTTCTCATTTTGCCTTTGTATGAGGAATGAACTGAGGTGCTTCTTCTACTACCTTCTGAACATACTGCTGATTCTTCTATGGACACAAATTGAGTAAGTCGGCTTACAGGTTTTCACCAGAATTTGAAGATGTTGGATCATATTTAACGCACATCTTTAGTCTTTTGACTTCTTCTGCAGCTTTGTTGCGCCTGTAGCTGATAGGTATTGAGCAGTATTAATCAGCCTTATTTAAACTGTCTGAAATGGTTGCCTGTGTGTTAATCTGATGTATTTAACAAACATACTGTAAATCCTAAAACAGTCAATACAAGTCTGATTCGAATTACGGAGTAGTAGACTGGAAAAAGCTGTTGTCGGACACATTTTCTTTCTACAATAATCGTTTAAATATGGAAAATAATAGGGAACAAAAACAGAGATGTGGAATGTTTTTAAGTACTTACAGAAAATCCAAAAATACAATAGTTTCTTTTCTAACATGTGACTTCAAGTCTTATTTCCTCTTACAAAACAAAACTTTTTTATCTCATGTGTATCATTTATGGTTTGACCCCTCTCTGGTAAATCCAGCTCTTGGTCTGCAGATATGAAAACCAAAGTAATGTGAGATAATACTTTTCAATATTGTGATATCAATGAGAAGCGCAGTAAATGAACGTACATTATAGGGTGCATGTGTTTTTTTTAACCTTTATTTAAACAGGAAAGTCCCATTAAGATTTAAAACCTATTTTGTGATTGCAGTTAAAGTAACTCAGTTAACATTGTCTATCTGCTTTTTCACATTTCCTGTGTGTTCAACATATCTCCTTAATCCAAGTAAGATCCAAATAGAAGTTTTCTCATTATTCAGTTGTTAACAATGAATCTGTGGTTATCTCACTGCTGGCAAAAGCCTCCATTAACTGCATCAAAATGGTTTAGAAACATGACTATGTGACCCAAGCCTCCATCTGAGGGTGGTAATGGACATGCTGAGTGAGAAAACATCTACTGTACACATAAAGCGTTTCCTCATTAGTGGCAGTAAATGAAGATTTTGCTATGTGTTTACTGTAAATCCTTGAATTGTACTGTCAACAAAGTTGCCATTGCAACTGTAAGACGAGAGTCTTGTTGAAGAGTGAATGTTGTGATCATTGCAGTTCCTCTTCAAGAATATCAAGGGAGTTTCCTTGTCCTTCACATCTGTGAATGTTTCTGTGGAGTTAAAAAAAGAATGGTGGTTATGAATACATGCATATCTGTCATTATCTAATCCCCAAGTCCACAGATAAGTCAGAGGTCACTTTCAGCTAATGTAACAGCAGAGAAAGCTGTTTAACTGAAGTTTGAAGCAAGTAAAACCATTACCACATACTACAGTATTTGTAGCTCAAGCTAATTTGCAATGCCTGTCCCTAGCCGGGCTTTTAAGATACATAAAATGCCAAAAACACACCAACAGTAACAACATTAAAATGGCAACAAATTCACATAAAACAAGCACAACATTACAAGGACAAAACACAGAGGCCTTAAAAAAAACATTATCATACAGTGGTACAGGGTATCACAGTTAAGCTTCAATGTCTATATTTGATCAAAATGTTTGGACATGGACATGCAGCTTTTATGTTAATGTCAGTATTAGTCTGCATGAACTCTTTTGATGTCATTGTGCAGAAAAAAAACCCTATGTATATTAGAACTGCAGCATTAGATTATTAACATACATATCAAACATGTTACTGATGTGGATGTTGTTACAGTTTCAGAGAAAGAAAAGATTTATTTCTTAAAAACATGTTTAGCAGTTATTTCAAGTAATATAGAGTGTTAAATTATCCTAATCTGCTGGTTTGACCTCCTTTATGTGGAGCAAAAATGAAAGGCTCTTGTATAAGTTAAAAAAGGAAGCAAGGAGCACTTTATATTTTTTTAACTTACCAAAATAACTCTAATTGAAATGAAACCTGTCAGTTTTGTCACCAAGGAAATCCCACAGACTTTCACAGACTCCTATATTATACAGAGTTAGTTACAGTTATACTAAATTTAACAAGAAGTAAGGGGTGTTACAAGGCTGTTGTTTTCATCAGAAGTGGTTTGTGTTGTTGAGGAAAACCTAAAAAACAAAAGTGAAAAACTAAAAAATTGTCATACTGGTCAGTGATTTGATCCTGGATGCACCAGAAGCATCTGCATAATGTACGTGCACAGGAACCGCTTATAGTTTGTTAAAAACTCAGAGTCCATTTTAGTCCCACCAGGTTACACAACATTTAAATCAAGAGAGGAAAAACACAGACTGTGTTAACAGACAGGACACACTCAAAGACATCCTTTAGTCAAGAGAATAAAGACACTGGAGCTCACCTGTGAGCATTTCAGGATCAAACCGTGTTCAGCATTAATTTGTCTGTTGAAGAGATAAAATTAATCTGCTGAGTTGAGGCCTTACACAGCAGCTCGAGAACCACATCTGTTGCCAGATACAGCTGCTGTGTTGGAGTGTGTGTGTGAGCAAGTGCCTGTGAAGGCACCACAGGATGTTAGCTTAGCCACTCAGCAGTGTTTCTGCACAGCTGACACATTTATGACTACTCTAAGTTGCGTTCAAAATATCTGAAATGATTTTCTTTGCTCTTGAGTCAGCTCACGTTTCAGCCTGAAACAGCAGCTGTAAAGTTTCTTGATGAGCTGATCTCAGAGTGTTGTTTCTCCATGTTTCTGGAGCCTTCATGTTAGCTCTTGAGCTGTGTTAGAGCTTGGGCGGAGTTGTCAAAGTGATGGGAGGTTTCTACTTAATGATATATCCACTCCAACCCCTCATCACCTCTGAGAAAACCACGACATGTTTCCACATTGAACCAAAGCTTTCTAAAAGTTGTTCTGTCAGAGATTATTTGAAGAGAACTAAACTTACTCCTTTTTGCCCTCTGATTACTGTTTCCTGGGCCTGCAGCAGTTCAAGCCAGGGTGGCATGTAGCTTTTGACACTAAGTATTGGTGCTGTTAGGAATGAGCATGATTAATCAATGATGGATTAATTGATGGTTAAGAATTACATTGATCACGGAGAATTTCAACCAATCTAACATGATTAAAAAAGGGCTGACAGCGTGCGTCCATCCTCCAACTGCTTTCCAGCGAAGATCAACCTCTACTGATCAGGAGGGATACCCTCTTTGTCCAGTCAGTGTGTGTGTGTGTGTGTGTGTGTGTGTGTGTGTGTGTGTGTGTGTGTTTGTTTGTTTGTTTGTTTGTTTGTTGAAGCAATGCATTTTACAAGGGGAGTGATAAAGTGTCAGCGGGCTTCCCTAAAAGTTGAAAAAAAAAACATGAAGAAAGCAAGATGAAGTATGGTGTGGGACTATTTTGAACGGAAAAATGATGAGGTTCGCTGCAAACACTGCGATGCCAATGATATACCACTTGAACCACAGACTGAGGTTAATGAATCCCCCAAGTGCTCTCAGTTTCAACCTACCACCATAGCCTTGCTAGCAAGGAGGAACTGTAGGGTGACCAGAAATCCAAGGTTTCGGGGGACAGTCCGTGTTTTGGACGACCTGTCCCCAGCTGAAGTTGTCCCCGAAAACTTCCTGATTTTAGGATTTCATGGGGCGAGGGGGGTGTTTCAATGAGGAAAAACATGTTTTTTGCATATTTTTTTGCTGTTCACATAGTACAATGATCAAATCGATGATTGATCGTTAATCTATATGATTTATTGATCGAAGGACTTTCTTAAAATGCTCAATCGTGCTGTTGTTCTTTTCAAATTACAGCTAAATTTATACTTAACCATTAACCTAAACATTTAGATACGCTCAAGTATGTGAGATAATCAGCCATGGAGTTTATTAACATGAATAAAATTATGCAGACTGCATTGAAATGAGAATACACCATTCACAGAAAATTAATTAACATGTGAGTTCTTAACTTTTCCTCTATGTTGAGATTGTACATGTGTGAGTGTGCGTGTGCAGTATCTAATGAAGTTGAGGGGCACAGGAGGCTCAGTGGCAGGATGAAGAAGTCTTTTTATGGCCATTTGTAAACTGAAACATATGTGGGGCTTTTCTTTGCACATGTGTAAGTGGTTGTGTGTGTGTGTCTTTACAGTGTCTCTTCAAAGGATCCCCACCCGAACCCCTAGTATCATCTTCTCTGTTTCCCTCCACCTCTACTCTCTACTCTCTCTCTCTCTCTATCAAAGGAGCCATTGTAGATGCTTTGCTAATATTAGTCAGTGTGCGTGTGTGAGTATAAGATAGAGGGAGAGGGGGCAGTGAGGGAGAAGTTGTGTCTTGCATTTTAAATTTCAACACACAGGCTTGTTTCCTATGGCGGAAGTCAATGTTTTTTTTTTCTGCCTTCACTGAGGGCTGCTTCAGTATCATCAAAAAATGTTGCACCAGCTGACTGAGAGCTCTAATCTCCTTTGTTTCAGTCTGTACACTTTCATGTGTTTTTGAGTTGTTTGTGTTATTTAAGGGTGACTGCTTCTAAAGTGATAACTGCCAACCATGCAAAAACAAGCAGGGGGTTTTCCATTACAGCCCTCCCCCCCTGCAGCACATGAGAAAGTCAAACTCATTGACTCCGGTCTTCCTGCCTGATTTTATCTGCCTGTTTAACATCTGCAGTCCCCTGTGTCATGTCATCACTGCTGCTGGAAATGAGCCAGTGTTAACTCATATGTCCCAACCAAAGCTACTGAATTCCTTCAGTCTTGTCCATGTGAATTTCAGCACCAACTAAGATTTGACTGTGTTCATTTCAATCCTAGCCATCCTCTATTAGCTAGCCAGTAGTTAGGTTAAGCATGGTCTGCTGAAATTGTATGAATTCAGCATAGTTAGAATTTAAAGCGTCGACTCAGAGCAAAGTGATAAAAATACATTTCACAGTCACAGAGAGTTCAATTGTGGTACAGGCTGAGCAGAAACATCTGCCGCCATAAGCACAGTGGAAACATGCATGTGCATTTAACTTTGAAACTTAAAATCTGCAAGTGCGGGCTAATTTGCATGTGTGAGTGATGTTTTCCTGTTCAGCTCAAGTTCATCTGACCAACCCAGAACCTTACCCCGAACATGGTGGTTTCACTTCCTCTAAAATATGCCAGGAATAGGTTACCTATGCCCATTACTTAAAACAACATCATGTAGCTTCTTCACTATTAAGTAACAGCTTTTTAAGTCATCATGTAGTGCTATATGACTTTGTATGTTTAGGTTTTGTCTTGCAGGAGAAATTTCAAAGAAATGTCCTGTAGTTGATAAATTCGACAGATTAAAAACAAGACAGTGTCTCTATGCAACAGGCTCAACAGAAATACATTTCAGGTTAAGTTTCAGGTTGAAATAAACCACAAGAAGATTGCATTACACTGTACTTTTTCTTTGTATTAATTTGTACAAATTACCAACCTTTTTCTTAATATCATTATTAAAAAAAAAACTTTTGGGCTGTGTTACATGAGTCAAAAAGAGTGAAAGCCTCAATCTTGTGCCTGACAATCAGCGTAAGATGTTATGATGTAAAAGAATAGATAACTGTCAAGATATCCATCATTGTTAGTCACACTGAAATTGACATTGAGTCAGTCAATTGTCAATTGTCAGTTGATTCAGCAGTCGACACTAGTGTGGCCAGTCTGAGACATGAGCAAATCATTCCATAGTGCAGGACTGCTCTCACCTCACATTATCAAACCATCAGGTTATAGTCTCAGGTCGTCATCTTCTGACCTGTCCCTCTTTTCTGTTTAAACAGCAGAAAGGAGGTTTCATAAAATCTACATCTTGTGGCAGGCATTGTTGCATGTACAAGACATCCTGTGTGAAAATGTGGGTTTGTTGCACTGTGTGACTGTTTTCTGCTGATTGTCAAGATATATGTGAAAATATTTATCAAAACAAGACAATTAAACAAGCAACAAAACTGTGAGAAGATCAGATGGTCTTTGGTTCTAGTATATTTCCACCAGGAAAGGGCAGAGTTGTGTAAATCAGGATTTTTGTGAAGTCAGAATAATCCCCGTCCTAAATCTCAGAACACAAAATAAAGGCTGAGGCTAAAGGGGCTAATGTGGGAGGATTGCCCTGTCTAAGACTACAGACTGGTCAAAGATTTAAGGGCATATCAGCAGAGACTAAAGACAGTCTTCATAGGTTTAGACAAACTTGGAGAGGAAGAGGAGGAGAGGAGCTGTCACTGCTAGATGCCTTTAGACCCACATTTTTTGTTTTTCCTGAGGGCTGTATGAAAAAAATACTCTGGTTTATTACTTCAGGTAAACAGAAATTTATGCAAATGTTTTAATTCAAACAAAATGTTCTCTGTCTATCTTGGCCTCGGTCACATTTAGGTTGCTTTTGACACCTGTTTAAAACATTCCTTAAGAACAGCACTTAATTGCATCCCAAGATGTTTCTTAACCTTTCTGCGTTTTATTATTTATTCACTTATTTTGTAGGGTCATATTTTCAAGTCTGCTAATGTAATTAAGTTTAGGCAAACCAAAAACTCTCTCCCACTTTGACCCAGTTCTGGTTCATGTGGTGTCATACACACAGACTCTTAAGTGACAAGCCACACAAGACATTTCAAGGAGCTGAATTCAGACTCAGGAGAAATAAAGTGATGGAGGTGATGAAGAAAGCATTTTCAGAGTGCTGCAGTGACAGTTAAAAAGCATAGTTAGAGGGAGGAGGGGAATATCAGAATGATGTGTAGCTGAGATGTAGAGGTGTCATCATTCTGGCAACCGGAAGGCTGCGGTGCTAGAGCTGCGTGGTAACTTCCTGTTTGTCAGCAGCATACAGGAAGTAAGAGGCCCCTAGAGGATTGTTTGACTGTGTGTGTCTGTGTGTGCATGACCTAAAATGAAGTCTGAGCCTAAGTGGTGTGTGGAGGAACTGTGTTTTTTAAGCTTAAATTTAAACATCTTAAACATCTTAACGTCTACGTGTAGAGCTGAGTATACAAGATGCAGAGGTTGTACCAAGTAATTCATCAGTCAGCTACTTTAACCGTCTGTCGCTGCTGTAGGCAATAATCAACAGATCAAAGAGTCAATACCACAAGACAGGGGGCTAGTTTGGCTGTGACATGAAGCTGAAGGCTAATTTTGTTTAGAAAAGCCACACGGCTTGATGTAAATTAAATGTGAGTCTGAACACTGTGATACGTTGCAATGAAATACTTAAGCTGTTTGCATTGCCGAGTGCAGTTTTCAGTATTCACTAGGATGCTCATTTCTCAGTAATACATTATAACAGTCAACTAGTCAACTACTACTGTGGTGAAGCTTGTCAACTTTTGTGAAATTTATTAGTCATGAAACCTTGACTTTAGCCCATATTTGTGGCTTAATTTTGTGGTCTTTCACCTGACTTTACCTCAGTTAATAAAACTGATGCTATAGAGCTCACACTATAAACTTCTGGTTGTAGCTTGTTTCCTGTCAAGTAAATGAGAGGGTGTTATAATTATGTGGACGGGAAGTACTTACATTTTCTGTCAGATATTATTCTTCAGAAGGAGAACTGACGTGTCTGATACTTCTCTCATTTATGCCTGAGTTGAGCGAGTGTTCAGCTTTCAACAGGGCTCAACACTTTGGTCCCTTCAAAGCAAAAACAGGTTTAATAATCTATGATTTTTGCTTGAAATTAGATATATTTTCTGTCTGCACTGATGTTTTAGAGAATAGGCTATTAAAAAATCTTAGTTTTGCATGTTAAAAGTTTCTCTGTTGCAGTTCAGATCTAGATGGTGCTTGTTGCTGGTTTGTCGGTCTGTCTCTATTTCTGTGATATGCACTGTTCATATACAAGTGTTAAAACAGATCGGTGGTGTAACCTTAAGTTTACATTTGTTTATCTGTATGTTTTCATTCAACTTCTTTTTGTTGACTTAAACCAAAGATTTGTCTTTGCTGAGTTTGCCTTGTGTTTGAGTCTCCTCCATGTTGTTTCCATGCTGCAGACTGGATCAGGTGGTGTAATGTGGTGTTTTTAGTTGAATGTTTTTAAAGAGGCATACATAGTAGGAAAATTATTAATACATTAAAAAAAAGATAACTGGCCATAATGTTGTTTTTTGTTATTTTTCTATTAGTTTCCCAGCCATAGCTCCTGAAATTGTTATTTATCTCGTCCACAAATACACATGCATGGCTGTGAACAGTGCAGCTCTGACAGCTCAAGATCAGTTCCTGTTTAGCTCAACAAAGAACAAATATTCTGTATCTTTATTGCTCTACCAGCCCTAAACACTGTACAAGCAGCATGTTTTAGGGAACTTAATGCTCAACTTCCGATTAAAGTCATATTTATTACAAATGTGTCATTTCCTACAATGTCTCTTATCAGTTAATCGCTGTTGTTGCCTCATGTTTCATAATGTTAGCATACACTTTTGTTTTGAATGTGAGTATTGAAAGAGAACCACTTGTGTGTGAACTAATGAGACCCCCACCACATCCTGATAAACCGAGTAACCAAGAGCTGCATTAAAAACTCATCTCCTGTTTTTCAGTTTTTCAGTCGCCTTAGCACAACTTTCAGGTTGCTATTAGTGAGACAATTTAGCATGGGGGTTAGCATTAAGCTGTGTTGGTTTCCACTCTATAACAGCACTTGATAACACACACATGTGGTGCCATGGGCCAAGAATGTGTGATGTGCCGTCAAAAATGTGAGAACAAGAGAACTAAAAATTGTTTCGCTAATCATTACTCTAACAACACATTTGTTATCTTTTAGCGTTTTAAGTGAAACATGCTTAATGATTTACCAGTTGCTACACAGATAAAATTTCGAGTACCTCGTCTCCAGTTTGAGGAACCCCTCAGAGTGCAGATTCATTTCACAATACAATGTTTATGCTTTTGTTTCGCTTATTTCCATATGTCATTAGTTTGTGTGCGTTCTCTGTCCTCCAGGGTGCGGTGCCCAGTGCAGACACAGTAAAGTGGAGAGAGGAAGATGCCAGCTCCACCTCCCCCACCACCCCCAGGCCCCCCTCCTCCTACCACCTTTTCTGTTGTAAGTTATTCTGTCCATCTCTCTTTCTTCTGCCTCGTCTTCTTGAACCTTCTCTGCAGAGACATCTTGTGGATAAATCCTGTCATAACATTAGTCTCTTATTTCCTCTGCGTGATCCTAACTTTTTCACACTTACTGCTGTGTATCATCTTTCATTCACACTCTTTCTGTGTAAATTGATTTAACGTTTGGATGTTAATGTTTTGTGTGTGTTTATGTGTGTGTTTTAAGGCCAACACAGAGAAGCCAAGTCTAAACCGCTCAGAGCAGCAGGGTAGGAATGCTCTGTTGGGTGACATTAGTAAAGGAGCCAGACTAAAGAAGGTTGTGACCAATGATCGCAGTGGACCTATACTGGACAGTGAGTTAAGACTCTTATAATATCACTTATTTCTATCATCCTCATGTTTAATTCCTGCAGAGAGGAAACTAAGTTTGTAGTTGGGTAAGTCACTCTGACTCAGGCACATATTTCGCTATTTTCTGTAGACAGGCAAAGGCCTACAGCAACTGTAAGTCACTTAAGCACACTTAAACTCATGGTTAAGACTGTCTTTGAAACAAACATCACTAATTTACAAAAAAACCTATAGATAGATTTCTTTTTTTTTTTTCAACACAATAAAGTAAACTGAAAACAAATGAAACCAATGAGAATATTCAAAACAACAATAACAATAATCAAAGCAAAAAAATAAAAATGAAAATACTGATAATAATATTAATGTGAACCCAACATGTCCAAAAAGGAGTAGGATGGAGCATTATGCCCTTTTAAACCTACCCTCTCTCCTCTACTTAATAAAAAGTCAGTCTCCAACATACTTACATTATATTAACAAAAAATAAAACATAAATGGAGTAAAAAAGTACATAAATCACTTATGAAAACACCAGATGGTTAAAGCCCTTTTTCCTCCCTGTACCTGGTGAAAACCATGTTTTTGTACCGCTTTTTAAACTGGGTCATGCTTGGACGTTGCTTGAGCTCCACACCTAATCTGTTCCACAACCTTACTCCACAAAAAACAGAAACACGAAAACTTTTAAATGTTGTACGTGCCCGCTGATGCTTTGAGTTAAAGTCCCCCCTCAGGTGATAGATTGTTAAACTCTAGTTTGCGGCACCCCTTCACTCTAATACCAGGATCTAACTGATGTACAAATCTGTTTTATCGATGAAATATTTCCTGTACAAGAACGGTTATTCAAATTTGAATTGTTGTTGTCTTTTTTTATTTCAGAACCAAAAGGAGGAGGAGGCATGGGTGGAGGAGGAGGAGGAGGAGGTGGTGGAGGAGGAGGAGGAGGTGGAGGTGGCGGAGGAGGTTTTGGTGGTGGGTCTGCTGCTGGTTTAGGAGGCCTGTTTGCAGGAGGGATGCCAAGACTGAGGTCTGCAGCAAACAGAGACTCCACTGGTAATAAAACATAAAAGCTGACTCTTTAAGTGTCTGAGTGTTTGAGTGGTAACGTCTCCGCCCTGTGTGTAAGCTGGGACTGGCTCTATCTGCCTCCTGTGAGAAGATGCGTGTTTTGTTAATAGATGGACAGGAGGATGGATAATGATGGAATTAAAATAAAACATAAAGTACTTCCTCTAGCTTCTCCTCCCACATACTCAATTTTACCTTTGCCGTTTCTCCTCTCCAGACTCAGCACCCAGCAGAGGACCTATGCTCCCCCCAGGGGGTCGATCTTCTGGACCAACTCCATTTGGTGGAGGCAGTAGTGGAGGTCCACCCAGACTTCCAGGGGCCCCTGCTGGTGCCCGTAACAATGCACCTGATCTTCCAAAAGGCAGACCGAGTTTCGCATCCAGACAAGATACTCCAGGAGGCCCACCTCCCCCTGTACCCAACACACCTCGACCAAACCAGAGCTTCCAGTCTCGTGGCGGCCCACCTCCCCCTTCACTCCCTGGAGGACCTAGGCCCAGCCCTGCTTCTGGACCGCCACCTCCAGGTCTTCCATCAGGGAGGCATGGACCTCTACCTCCTCCTCCTCCAGGAGGCCCCTCAGCTGGATCAAAACCAGGATTTTCCTCAGGATTTCCTCCTCCTCCACCCCCAAACAGCTGCCGACCTTCATTGCCACCTGCTCCTGGAGGAAGACCTCCACTTCCTGACGACAGACCTCCACCTCCACCTGCCCCTGCTGGAGGTCATAGACCGTCTATGCCCCGTGACTTTCCCCCACCTCCTCCCTCTGTCAACTCCAAGCCTTCTCCCTCAGCCTCTGCCTCCCCTGTCTCTCGCCCGACAACTGGTGGAGGTGCACCTCCTCTCCCTCCAGGAAGGCCGGGCCCCCCTCCTCTCCCACCCTCTCCAGCTGTAGGGGATGACCACAGCACCCCTCGTCTGCCCCACAGGAACAGCTCACTTAATAGGTAAGGTGAATCTGCGAGAAGATTTTCCTACCTGCCATGAGACGGATGACTGAATCTGCTGCAGTGATAGAGACGGAGTTTGCATAGATTCAAATCTAATAGCTGCTCTGTGTTGCTGTAGTTCACACAACATTGAAAAACTTCTTATGTAGCTTCCCGCTTATAAGTACCACTTGGCTTTGTATTCAGATTAACATTAATTATGTAAGCAGGAATAATTTTGTCTTCATAGATGTAGTGAAAACCTAAGTTTGCAAATGTTCTTCCCAGACAATGTCCATTGTCGGACTGTTTTTATTTAGTATTTTGCTTGTCTTCTGACCACTCCAGGCACTTTTACATTACATGTAGATTCTACCCCTGCACTCACATTCATGCACTTATAGAAGAGGATGTCAATAAGTCTCATCTTATGTCTGTCTTACGTACATGCTGCTGGCTATGCGGCTATTGAGAAGGTTGTGGTTTGATATCTTGACTAAGGGCACTTCTACATGTGGACCACTGAGGCTGGAATCTTTGACCTCTGAGCGTCAGAGACAAACGACCGCAGCCACCTCTCTATATTTCACAGACATTATCTAATTTATACTTTCTAAAGACTAAAACTATGTTTCTCCTTTCCAGCCATGCTCCATCTCCACCTCACAGTCGGGGAGGACCTCTCCCTCCTCCGCCAAACGAGAGACCACCATCTCTTGGAAGAAATCAGTCCTCAACACGCACAGGTGAGATTTGCTGATTGTTGAATCAACGCTTTTTCAAAATTGCTTTGTCTCTGTCTTTATCTTATACAGAGAATCACTTTTGTCTTCATCTGATAACATGTTTGTTTTTATTCCTTCCTCCAAAGGGCCACTTCCTCCCCCTCCACCTTCAGGTCGGAGTATGGGTGGGGGCAGTGTGAGGTCATCACCAGCTCCTTCTCCAATTGGTCGACCTGGTCCTGAGCCCCCACGCGGTGGACCTGGTGGTAGACCTCCTCTTCCTCCAGACAGACCAGGGGCAGGAGGGCCCCCTCCTCCTCCTCCACCCATGGGTAATGGCTTCCAAAACTCTCATCACAACCAGATACAGGGTGAGTAAATCTGTGGGGGTGATAGTTTGGTTTATTCAAGTACTGATCTGTGGATTGTAGTGGAATGGATTACAATGTAATCTATGTGACAGAAAAAAAACCATTTTATACTGTTTCTCTAATAACAAGAAAGAAATAGACTGTCAAAGACTGCTACCATACAGTATATTTAAGGATAATAAAAGGCCTTACATGATGTAAATCAGACGTCTGATGTATTAACCCAAGTGTGTGTAAACTGGGGGAAGACTGATAATCCCACTGCCCTCAGTGTTGATTTTACCACGAGTTCAGATCTGCTCGGCTCTGGCAGAGAAACCTGCTGACCTGCTTGCTGTTTTGTTTTGTATTCCACTGAACCAAAGTTTGAAGGGAAAGCAGTGATAACAAGATTTGACAAGAGATCCTGAATAACCTGCTCAAGGAAGTTTTTTATTGCACATCTTGAGGACACAATATTTTGAGATTGTGATTTGATTTTAAGTAAAAAATAAATAATAGATAAAAACCTCCCTATTTAGTGTCCAATTGTTATGGAACTCATTAAAATTCATTAAGGCATAAAATTTTAAATTTATTTGGTTAAAACTGTTCATCAAAATTGGATGAAATAAGACATCATGTGTCCTATTTTATTACATTTTATGCGAATGTGGTTATTATTTTTTTGGTTTGTTTTTCCAAGGACAGTGTGACAGATAGTTACTGTATTAAGAGAAGCCTAAAAACTGTTTTTCATCTTTATCTGTAGTCAGGTAAAACAAAAACATTTAAAAAACACTTTCCTCCTTTCATAATGTCTTACATGAATATGTGCTTTAGTGCTTGCACCATGGGAGTTTTGTTTGCCTGACTAAGATCCACTGACCCTTACTTTTTTCTTTTTCAATCAACAGATGACTGGGAATGTCGCTTCAATTTCCATCCAGTGTCTGACTTTCCTCCACCTGAGCCTTACATCCCCTCCCAGAAAACCTACCCCAGCAAGCTTGCCAAGAGTGATGGCAACAAGGGTCAGTCTTCACTTTCTCTTAAATTTTCAAGTTTATGAGGTTAACAATATTTTTAATGTAAGCGTAACTATAACATAATAAGCATTAAAGCTGTTAGTATACAAATTGATCATTATATCGTGCTGATAAAGTTTAAAGGAGCTACAACTTTGATGCCTGCTGGTATACATACACATGTAAAACCTGTCTAAACACTGGCTAAAAAAGAGAACTTGTTTGATAAAAAGTAATTTAACTTACATTGTCAGACATTTTACTTCTGCTCTGCTTCGTTTTAATCAAATTTGAATAAAAAGAAAATTTGGATAAATTCCTGTGAGCAGACATTCATTAATTTTAAAGATATGTTGTCAGATAAAGAAGTAAACTTTGTAAAGTCAGAGGTAAATGCGGCTAAATTTCAGATGAACTGAGAAACAGTGCCATCTAGTGGAGGAAGCCTCTTGTTGAAACTTCAGTAAAAATCCTACAATTTCGGTCTCTGTTTCTTTCCAGGTCCTGGTAAAAAGGAGAGAGGAGCTCCTCCTCTTCCTCCAATACCGAGGTGAGGAATCGACCCCATCAAGTGCCCCCCCTGGAGTCTCTGTCTACTTCCCAAACCTGTCTCCTTCTTCCTGTTTCTCAGTCGTGCTTGTTGTGCTTTTACCCGTGGCAAGTGGTTCATCTATTGACTGCAATTTTACCGTGGACCTTAAGGATAACCCGACCAATGAAAAGGCCAAATTCACATTTCCGTGCATCTTTAACAGCATTTAACGATGACGGCTAAGTTTTGTTGCGGTACATTGTGTTCAGATGAAGATCATGTTTCTTTGTGCGTAAAGCAGAAGTGTTCTTTTCAGGTTTACATCCACGATTTCCCTGTGAGGCTGCTCACTTACAAAACAACAGTATTTTTGATGAACCTTCATCCATATTGGACTTTATTCAATCAAACAGCTTTATGCTTCGATACCTTCTGCTAGAATTGCTTACAAGATTTTAGGTCTTGCCGAACAGCTGCACTTTAAGCATAAAGCAAACTGTTTCAACATATTTACCAGCATTTTAAAGTCTGTTTACATAGTACCAACATATATTATGTAAAGTGTAATCAATACTTTTTAGCAATATCATGTCCCAGGGTCACAATGCAAGGCTTGAAATGTCAGCTTGCACAAGAGAGTTTACAAGCTGTTTGTCTGTTTTAGTACACAACGTTTTACTTGTGCCTTTTTCTATTCAGGATTGCAATTTCAGGCTGCTTAAAAGAGTTGTAGGACGTATTTTTAAGTGCCTTAAATTATGTTTGAATGCTTTTTCAGCTGGGTTGGATCACTTCTTCTGAATTTGATGTAAAATAATACTGCAGCTTTATTGTCTTTATCATTTTAATAGACAGATATGGAACCAAACAAAAGAAAAAATGGCCAAAAACCTCCTGCCTCTGCTGCTTTATCAGGTTCAATGCAGGTATTAAATTTGCCAAAGCCACGTGTGCCTTTGAAGTATGGATATTTTCATCTGTACGTTTATTTTGTAACCACTCAACGGTACTTTCATATGATTGTAAAATGTGCATTTTAATTTTCTGAATGAGAGGTTTTAAAGGACATTGTATGGTGTTATGGAAGTATTGGTTTACAATAGAACTGATTCTTATTTTGCTGTTTTGTTAAAAGCTGTCTTGACATGCTATGAAGGACCCATGTATGTATCTGTTGATTAGTTCAAGTGATACTAAAGGACTTTAAGTTATGTGAATGAACTGTGCAGTATTATGACTTTTTTTTTTTTAAATGCTTTTCCCAGCACTGCTATGAATAGTCTTGTATACATGATGTGTTAAGTGCTGGTCGAAGAAACATGATTTTAAAGACAATCATCAAATAAACTTTGTTTGCATAAATAAACGATTAAAGGGCTTCAAGATGTATGTGCCCTCCGGGGCTGAAAAGTTATCAGACAAAGGAGCTAAATGTCCAAAGGCAGTGATTTATTATGCAACCATTATCATGCTAACAATATGCAATGTTTGTGCAATAAAGCTGGACAATACATTGAAATCACAGCATGTCGTCCTGTACAAAACTGGCTATTTTGTCTTACATGTTACAACATAATTCTATTGCTGTAACTGCTCTAATTAATTTACTTTAGTCAATAATCCGTCATAGTTGTGATTTTCCAGCTGTTGTGCAGCTAAACTGGAAATCAAATGATCAATATTGAAATAGTTTCCTATTATTAACTGCTTCATGTCTGTGGATTTGGAAAAGTGGTAGTGAAAGAGCCATCTTTCTTCTCCGTCTAGCTGTTGTTTTATAGAATATAAAAGAAACTGAGTGTAATTTTTATGCATAATTTAAAACCTTCTTTATTAACGAGGAAGAAACTGGACTGGTTTTTGTCATCGCTCCAGTTTTATTTTTGCTAAAGTTAAATGAGGTTAGCACTAAGAATAAGTAATTATTTGCAACTACTAATTACTACTTTAAGAAAGTTGCTGAATGACTTTCTGATTTACTGCATTATAAAAATGCAGTAAATCAGAAATTAAAGAGACTATACTGCACAGTCCTCTGACAACTCAGTGTTTTAACGGCACATGTGATATGACGTTGACACACTGATGGCAGAAGCTACCCTGCAGCTTCCATTTTACCCATCAGTTTTAACTCATGCCACACACACACTACTGGGTGCACCCAGCTGGGGCAGGTTGGGGTCAAATGTCTTGGCATTGAGTTCCTGACCTGATTGAGAGACGACAAACTACCACTGAGCCACAGCTGCATTGATTCTTGTTTGCTCTAATAATCTTATCTCTAGAAAACCATGTATTTCCGCCAAAGGAGACCCACCAGGAGCACCCTTTTGCTCTGCTGGAGGACCTTCCTAAATCCTGTCTGAATTAGGAGGAGTGTAGAGGTAGCTCAGGGCCAATCGTGTGCCAGGGCATCCTGCTCTACAGGAGCATGATGATGATGTGCCCCTCTGCTTCACGTCACAAGATTTGCTGCAGAACAGAAAAACTGCTACCAGGTTTTGTTGATGAGCATGTGGACCCAGTGCCTCCTTGATGGTTTATCTGGTCAACTGCTGAGATTTTGCTTAGTTAAACAAAGACAAACCTCTGTCTCAGGTATGACAGAAAATGTTTTAGAGCCAGGAGCCGATGTCTCCATTATGACCACGTCTCTTTTCATGAATAACCCCTCTCTCAATGAAGACAGAGTGAGGAAGCACTCCTGAAATACCTTGAGTCCTCTACTCCTGTCCTCTTCCTCAGAAATCAAACATCAGAGCAGCACGAAGTTGAGTAATTTGTTCACTTGCTGGACATATCAATTGGCCTTTTTAGAAACAGTGTCTAAATCCACTCTTGGAAAAGTGATGTAGGGACTAGATAGCTCTTTTCAAGACCAAGAACAACTGCTGTAACCCGGGCCACTTTTCACCTGGATAGAGCATACACCAACCTCTTGCCTTAATAAGGGATGTTTGTCATGCCCCTGGTTGTCAAGAGCTGTTGCTATACACCTATTAATACCCTTGGAGAAAGAGAGATGTTACTGAGAAAAGCAACTGACCGTTTGCCCCCCTGTAAGTCAGTTCTTGCTCCTTTGGTCCCTTAAAGCCCTGGTGGTTGGCAGAAGGTCTCCAGAGAGCATGTTAGACTGGTTTCCAGAAGCAGTTCCTGACTTGACTGTGAGTAGGGCTTTGTAACTCAGGTTTAGGATTGCTCTTGACTTTGGTTAAGGAGGTCTTTGGGACAATGATCCTCAAGGAAAGACCCTGTCAAAAGTTCAACAAAAAAATCATCTGTACTAGAAGAAAAAGAGAAGTAAACTGAGTATTTTACATCTGTGCCATTTTTAGGTGTGATGAGCACTTCTTTTACTACACAAACTTGAAGGGCTGATAAAACGCATCAGCTGCATGTTGAAACAACAACCTCTAAATACCCCTGACACAGCTTTCTGACTTCAAACTCTTGGTATTGCAGTCCTGAAGATGTATAGCAGGAAGATGAGCAAACACTATCTTTATCTGGATCATCATTGCAGAGTATAAAATGTTCACATGTAAGTTGACTCAAAATCAAATTTTATCTGAAGCCAAGACAAAAACTAATATTATATAATAATTAAAATTTACATCTTTGATAGCAAAATTATAAAGTACATGAAAGAAAAGTTAAAAATGACATGATTCAAATAAAAAAGCAAGAAAATAAGGAACTAAAAAACGTGAACACAAACAGCAGATTTTACAGCACATTATCTTTTCAAATCACAACATATAATTAACAAGAATAAGGACAAATTAATAGAAAAATGTTAAAAAATATTGCCCAGATACTTAATGTGAATAGCAACTTCAGAGCACTGAAACCCAATGATGAAAACACAGCTAATGTCAGAGTTATCAGCTAGATTTTATTCCCACTCTAGTGCATCCTTTAGAGTAAGTTTGTTCGTGCATTAGTGTTGTTTGTGTGTTTTCACTGTTTGTGTGTACATATCAATTGTACAGAACATCCCGTTCTGGCTGAATCTGCCCACAAACAGGGAGCTATGCATCGTTCTGCTGCTGCAAACACCATTGCGTGTCTTCTCTGCATCCTCAAATTTGACACGTGTGCCAAAACCCATCGCTTTTCAACTCATGTTTTTTTGACTTGAAATCTCAAGATTTATTTCATGTGACCTCAGCGGGAGTGTCACAGAGGAGTTACAAAAGTTTTAAATCAAAAAGAATATAAAACATATTTGAAAGATCAGTCAAACCAATCATGACACCAGTTCTCTCACATTGTGTGATTATGAATGCGGTTACCAGAAGATATGATGTTACATCATCTGAAGCCTTGGTTGGGCAACCTCTGCGATCAAATGCTCTTTTTTTTTCTGTTTGTTTTTTTCAGACAGAAGTTTCCACTGTGTAGGTGGATGCGTGGGAGGTAAGCGGAGGAGGGGTTTCCTTTGAGGTTGGCATCCCCAAACTAAGAGAAACGTAGAAGAGGACTTCCCCTGCGTCTGCAAAGACAGAAAGGTACACACATTCACACAAAGCCTTTTAAGGTTGGCCTGATGCTTGAATTATTTTCACTGTTTTGAAGCACCGAGGTTATCATTTTCAGCATTTTACAACTCACATCCTGAAACTCTGCATGGTAACAATTTTTTAAGGACAAGACTTATATCTGAGTGGACCTTTAAACAAATACCCTTTATTTTTTCATCATTGTCCTCATAGAGATGTTCAAACTAGTTCATTTGTTATCCTAACGTGTGGTCTTGCTTAATAACAAGCACAATATAACCCTTTCATGCCACTCTCAAAACACAAAAATATTTGAAAAAACTAACAAATCTGTAAAACAACAGAAAATCTCTTAAGTAGTCAGTGAACACGCACGTGTTAACATAGTACACAGGGCATTTCTATCATAATGTAACCTTAATATCTATACCTGAATAGCAAGCCTGCAAACCTTTGCATTTTCTGATCTCTTTGTGGTTGCAGATTATATCTCCACATGGGGGAGGTAAAGCCAAGCTGATGCTGGTGCTGAGCGCAAAGACATGACCACAACCTTTTTTTATTATTTTTCAGTGTTACCTCACATTTAAAGATTTATGCTAGATTGCCATTAGCAGTCGGGTGTATACAAGATCATATATTATATTCAATACTATTTTCAGTATGGTTTGCAGTATTTCACTCTGAGGGGGACCACAGGTGTTTTTTACTTCTTCAGGAGGACAGTGACAGATTTTAGAAACTCCAAACTAATACATGAATCATTGCTAATCTGCCGCTGATTTGAAATCATCGTAAATATTATTTTTTGATCAAATCAAATAATAATGGCCCTTTTTAAGACTAATCATATACCTTTGAAATACATTTTTTGTGCTTCCTTAACCTGGACCCTGTTTGACTACTGTAAAGCACTGCTGACGTCAGCCAGGAAACGCGATCACACATGCATAGGCTTGCACACAATAACACAAGACACCTGCATTGTTGGTTTACACTAGATCAACTCGCTGATAAACTTTCATCATGCTGCAGACAGGTGCATAATGCCACTGTGTGTGTTTGTGTTACCACATCACTTGTACACACCTCACTGCGGGAAGACAAGCACTCTTCGAAACACAAGATACTCCCGAAGAAGCTAAGATGAAAAGGACATACAGTATGTGCAAACTTCCACACACACAGATACTGTAAATGTCAGTCTTTCTTCAGGTGTGCTTCACCTCGCTGTTTATTATCTGCTTCTATGTCAGCTAACATACTAACTCAACTGCTGTAAGGGTAGAAAACATGTAAAAACATGCACGTTTATACACTTTGTACACTCTTGTTGTTGTACGTCTGTGTTTACATGTTTAAAGTATTGTGTGATGTGAGAGCAATGACTGGTACAGGATTATTTCACTGAAACACAGCGACTTTGACCAGCTTGCCACAGACCTGTTTTGCAGTTTTAACTAATTTTATTTCACTATTTCTTGATGAAAGCCAAAAATCACAGCTCTGACGACAGTCTGAGGTTGCTTTGCATGTAAAGTCCCAAGCTGGGATTCGAACCCAGAGCCATTTCACTTACCCATGCTTCTAGGTCAAATAGGTTCTTTTCATTTCTCTATTTCATTATGTTGTTTCTAAAGCTGGGTAAAGACTCTTGCTGCATTCCAATTGTACTTGAAAGTCAGAATTTCTGAGCGCTGAGTCGGAAAATCATCTGGAACACCCCACTGAAGTCGGATTTCCAACTCGAAAAAGTCGATCAATCCTCGCCAACCCCAACTTGACGATGTCATAATTTAAGATGGCAGTGCAGTGCATCAAGAGTAAAGAGTAACAGTAAAAGTTCTTGTCATGTATTTTTTATTAGAACTTATGTTTTGTTTTTGAGAAATTAAATAAGTGGTATATGTTTTACTGTCCAACGTCTAACTGTGAACACGGTGCCATGGTGTTAGAGGAGTAAATACCATGTTGTGCGCTGTTTACAACTGGTATAGCTAACAACAACTAACAACAGCTGAC